GCGTCTGTAAACTATGTAACGGCCAAACTGTTGAAGATGAAGTTCACTTTTTGGTAACGTGTGACTGTTATAGAGAGCTAAGACTTAATCTTTGGCAGAAAGTATCCCTTATTAACCCCTCGTTTATTACGATGTCTCCGGCAGACCAAACCGTATTCTTAATGCAGTGCGACGAACTGGTTAAACCACTTGCTGCATTAATCTTCTCAATGTATCGGAGAAGAAAATATATAAAACAATAAACTGGGTAGTTGTGTGCGTGTGATAATTCTTATCATCTATCATGTTTTGCTGTGTTGTAGGGTTGATGTGTGGGGGTTGTGATGGGTGGCTGGCCCGAGAGGTTGTGATGGGTGCTTGTTTCATGTTGTATGTGTGTGTGTGTGTGGGGTGGGGGTGGGGTGGGGGGGGGGGGGGGGGGGGGTCGTTGGGAGGGAGTGTGTGTATGCGGCGGTAGATTGTTACTTTGTTGGTGTCTTTGTGCGTGGTTGGTGCTTCTTTTTTGTGGAGACGGGGAGGGATGAGGATGCGAGTGAGGACGTGGTTGATGGGTGCGGATGAGGGAGTTGGTGTGGATGCGGGAACGGATACAGGTGAGGGTGTGTTTAAGAAATAGGGTGTGTGTGAGAGTGATTTGTGACGGTGAGGGTTCGGATGTGATTGAAGTGATGTCAATGAGGGTTTGGGTGTGTCTGAATGTGCGGGTGTGTTTGCGTGGTTTGCGTAAGCTGATGTGAGTGAAGGTCTGGATGTGGGAATGGATGTGGTTGTGTGTATATAGGATTTTTGTATGGGGGATAATATTATGAATGTTATTTTCATAATTGCTATTAAATGTGGTGTGTACATATATAAAATAATGTTTTTATGAGTCTTTTAGTGTCTCGTAGGCCATTTTGGCCGGCCGCTGAAGTTTTACATCTTGCCTTGTCATTTTATATGTACAGCGGGTGACACTATAATAAAATATTCTTCTTCTTCTTCTTCTTCTTCTTCTTCCTCATACATATTATCACTGAAAGTCGTACTACAGACGGTTAATGTCAAATCACAATAAAAGCATTTTAATTGCAATAACATGTTCCAGGACCATGTATTATCTTAACACCATCGGATTTAGAAGCAATGGTCGTATAAAACAAGACAGATCTATTTAAACACAACAGTATTCATGTTATTCCCACAAAATCACATAAAGAAAGGAGACATTAGCAAATACATGTGTATTATCATTTTTCGTCAGGATAACAAAATGTTCTCTCCTTGTTACCACCTCCAGGTTCAGCTTAAGACGGGTCCTCCTTTGGTCAAAAGTTTGTTCCCCCTCTAATGAGTGTGTCACGCGTTGCACACGAGTGGCGGTTGGGGTGCGTGTAAGGGGAATGGACTTCTAGGCAGTAGTGTACACGTACACAGGAAGTCGGCGCTGTCGGAGGCTCCAGGTAAATAAACATCGTGGTTTTATGACGGGAGATCAGACGAACCGTGAACCAGGGGCATGCGACGTAATTACACCTAAAGGTGGTAGAACCAGGGTATTGTCTCTTGGACTTGCTAATTGACCGTACGTATAATTGGTAAATATATTCGTTTTGACACCCGTGTTTCATGCGCATCCCGGCTCATAAGCAGAATACAGAATCCGTGATCAGCGGAGCGTGAACAACATGGATGCCGCCTTTCGGCCGTACCGAACAGTCAAGCTGCGATCTCGGAACTGAATCCAATTGCAAGCGGAGACAAGATTACTTCCTTTACCCAAACATGATCGTTGCTCAGAAATGTTCAAATCTATCTTCAGTAAATCATGAAATTAATGCGAGCATGACATTTATGCGAAAAATGCGATCGTCAGTCCCTCTGATTATTTTAATATGTTTCATTTCATCATGATAAAACAGTTAGTCACTTATAAGGTTACCACGTTGAAAATGGAAACGATCATTTACAAAAACAACAAAATGTATTCTCTCATCACTCAGCCTAACAGTGATATAACTGCAAATTAAACAATCAAGTACGCTAAAGTATTACACATGGTGGGTGGAGGACCAGGGGCACTTTGAGTTTGACAGGTGTCATCAACTGGTCAAGTAACATCACGGTTTGTATATTCACGTTGATTGGACAGTCTAGACTGGCGCCAACTAATCATGACGGCGTCTTCAGAACAGAACACAACTTTATTTCTCTCAGGTTTAGGCTTACGTGGATAACGGAACATTTTGTTTAAGTGATAGCACATTTGTAATTCAATCTAATATACTTTCCTTGATTGATTATATGGCTGCGGTCGTAGATCCGGATGTATCTTAATATGCTCAGTATATACACAGGGTTTATTGTTATACTATTAGGATTACTATTAGAAACAAATCTGTGGCTAGATCTGAGCGAGTATTTGTATGCGGCAAATCTATTATTGATTATGAAAGCTCTTACAAATATCTTGGTTTAACTTTTAATGAGCATTTAGATATGCACAAAACAGTCCAGGTACTGTGTAAATCGGCTAGCAGAGCTCTTTCTGCGTTGTATTCAAAGTTTAAACACGCGGGTGGCATGTCTTACGAAGTATTTAACAAGCTTTATAAAGCTCTTGTAGAACCTGTTCTATTTTATGGTGCTGGCATTTGGGGTTTGAATAAGTATAAGGAAGTAGAAATAATTCAAAATAAGGCTTGTCGTTTGTTTCTAGGCGTAAGAAAAAATGCCCCAGTTACTGCTATGAGGGGGGACATGGGCTGGTGTTCTGTGAAAGTGTCACAGCACGTTGAATGCTTTAGATTATATTTTAGAATTCAGAATATGCAGGCCCATCATCTCCCTCTTATCATTCATAATTGGTCCAAAATCCGATCACAATCCTGGGATAAAAAAATCGTAAACATTTTAGCTCACTATAATTTGTCAAATTTACCTTATTGTGGATACAGCATTAAACAGTGTGTTGACCGTGTAAAGTGTTTCTTAACTGCTGAAGATTGTGATATGTGGTATACTGCGCTATGGAATGACAAGAATAATCCAAATGGCAATAAATTACGCACATACAGAATGTACAAATCATCACCTACTGCTGAGCCTTATTTATGTCATGTACGTTTTAGAGATCATCGAAGACTTTTAGCATCCTTTCGATGTGGTATTTTACCTTTACATGTTGAGACCGGCCGCTACGCCAAGCCACCTACCCCACTGTTGGATAGGACTTGTAAATATTGTCACGCCAATCCTACTAATGATCATGTAAATTATGTTGAAGATGAATGTCACTTTTTAATAGAATGTCCATTTTATGATGATTTAAGATACAACTTAGCTAAAGAAGCAACTTCTGTAGATAAAACATTTCATTATATGAGTAGTTTAGAAAAGTTTATTTTTATTATGAACGAAGAATCGCTCCAATGTATTTTAGCCAAATCAATTTACAACATGGTTAAAAGAAGGCAATTTCATTTTAAGCCAAGTATGTATGTATGACTTGTATGTATGTATGTATGTATGTATGTATGTATGTATGTATGTATGTATGTATGTATGTATGTATGTATGTATGTATGTATGTATGTATGTATGTATGACGTGGTGTGTGGGCGGCGCAACGCTGTGGGGGGAGTTAAGGGGGAGCGCACTGTTTAACTAAGGACTTTCGAAGTCAGTTGCCCTGTATCCTGGCATACTGGTGCGCTCTTCACTGAAACCGCCCACGGCCGTGCTCCGCGCCTGCATCACGAGGTATGTATGTTTTATTCTGTTTCAACTGAATAGTTTTATGATTGATATGTTTTATAGTGTCTCGTAGGTCATATTTGGCCGGATGTTATATTTTACTGTTTTGTATATATCGTATTACGAAGTGTATATAACATGTGACACTTTAATAAACAATATTCTCTCTCTCTCTCATTAATAGAAACAATTGAGTATTTATACCCTTGATCATAAAGTTAGTCACTACTTTCACACTTTGATTTGTATGATTTGGGTTATGATTAAATTGTCAACAACAAAAATCAATCCGTGTATATGTGTATTATATAGTGTACCCCAATACGTAATTAAATTGTGTATAAATAAGGACACTAGGTTACTTACTGTAATTGATTATTTGATAAACATATTCACATTTAGTTGTGTGATATGTCACAGAAGTAAAGCTAATTCATAACAACTAATTGTCCCATTTATTTGGTTTCTATCTTTTATATGAAACAAATGCTATAACATGGGGTGATAAACTTCATTGGAAATAGACGTAGCATATAATTGTCCACATGAACAGTCAACTCTGTTCCAGATATGTTTATTCATTTTTTCAGCATTTAAATCGTTGCATTCCTGGCTCAATAATTCATTTGACGAAATATTGTTCCCTGTTTTGAATTACAGTCAGATAGTTCCAGAACAATTATACAATTTTCAGCCCTATGTGTTGCGCATAATTCCGAGATAATTCGCATTTCATATTCTTGTACGAACACTTATCAAAATTCATTTATACCTAGTACTATTATGTACATATGTATATTAGTTCAAATTATAATAATGAGGCCCTCTATATTCTCGAAACGGTCTTTGTTCTACGACAACCGTAAGTCGGTATGGGAAAACAAAATATTTGTTTAATTGTTCAAAGTTCAAAGTCAATGTCATATGATTATAGGCAAGGAAGATAAGAAATTAGATATAAAGAGTAGCCACTTTAAATGACAGAATTTCTTTTAGTTAAATTTGCTCATGATTTGGTCTTTTTCGTGGAACATAGTGCCAAAATACTCTTAATTATTTACTTTCATGTCATTACTAATCTCACATAAGGTCAAAAGTTGTACAACGTTTAACAGATATGATTATGACATGTTGTATCCAAATATTTCCAAACATTTCCAAACAAATCCAAACAAATCCAAACAAATCCAAGCTTGGAAATATGACCTTTCCAAATATTGGAATGGTCATATTTCCAATTGGAATGGTGGTATTTCCAAGTTTTGGATTTTTTGGAATGGATGATATTTTGTCCAGTGAAAGATGGCATTCTCCATAAGCAAATTTTATTGGAATATAAGGTTAACAGAAATATTTTTTTTAAAAACAAGTTATGCTGAGACGTTTGGTTTTCTGTCGACATATTGGTAAAATTTGTTATTTATCATAACAAAAAACATATACTCGCCTAAAGTATAAACATAAAGGCATGGTCAAAGTGCAAAATCAAATGTCAGACATATACTAGTCTAAAGTACAAAACATATTAAACACTGCATACTGTGTACAGAAAGGCGGTGAATACTAATCTGAACTAGATAAACCAGTGATTGGTATTTTTAGTATAAACACGTTTTAACAGCTACGATGAGAATTCCTAGCCCCAACCATATAGATAATAGAATCTGGACCAGACAAACCAGTGATATATATTATAAGCAACGCCCCAGCCACGCATTCGGCATATGATGCCACCAATCTACGAAGTCGCCTCTTACCACAAGCATATGTTGCTGGTACACTTGAAGGCGACAAGGGATAGTCCATGATAGTTACGTTAGAGTGAGTGAGTGAGTTTGGTTTAACGCCGCTCTAAACATCATTGTCAAAGCATTGTGTGTGTGTCTGTGATTAGATAATTTGTTTTGAGATAGGTGATTACTGAATTTCTTTGATACATTGTCAATCTCTTGGTATACCAACAAAAACGATATTACACTGAATGTAGTACCCATATCCTGACGCGCCTTCTGATTGGCTTGCGCCGTTGAGACGCATGGCGGCCCTTGAGGTGGACGAGCCTTGTTGTAGATCACGGACACATGTGGTGATGAATGTTAAAACACGACAACCATTTTGATTCTATCGCCTGATGTTTTGTCCACTCATGTAATACCTGAGGATATCCTTTGGAGTCTTCCCTTGCAGTTTTGAAATACACTGTCGGTACGAGACCACCTTTTTCTTGCCTTTGCCACAAGTTTGGCGATGTGGGTCGTCATCCATGCGTTTCAGCCAGGCGATTCTGATGTGCTTCTTTTTCAAATCTTTGGGTAGACTTTTCAAAAATGTGCTGATGTCTTGGTTGCTTCTACCAGCAAAGATACTACGGAGGCTTGATAATATGGGCGTTTTCTTTGGCTCACCAACATAAATTATATATCCCTTCCATAGGATTGTGAACACGCCACGTTGTGTTCTTCTTTTAAGGTTTCTTTTAAGAAGAGAAACATTGACGCCAGTATCCTCAAATAACGTCTCACAACGTTTCTGAAATATACAAGTAAAATTTAAAAAGGTTAGTTATGAAAATTCGTTTAATCAACCAAACTCAATATTTAATTGCAAAAACCTAAGTATAAAAACTCAGCATCTAATGTCTAAGAGACCAACTACTAAATATCTTGTGGTGGAGGGGTTTGGGGAAAACACCATTTAGTATGACAACAAATAACCGACGTAAATATGTGCTATGTTCAAAGCCTCGTTTGCAGCTGAGATTAAACATAAATTAATAACGTTTGCCCTCGATCACTTGTGGTCACACAATAGTAGCCATAAGGTTATATAAAACGAAGATAATCAAGAATAACAAAGAACTTCTAAAAACATTCAAAAGCTCAAGAACTAATTAAACTGAAATTATACCTGGGTTACTGCTCCCGATGTATCCGGATGTTTTCGTGAAACAATTGGCGACTTATTTCGCCTGGAGGAACGAGGTTGGGCTTGAGCTGTAGGCAGCCCGTCCTGTTTTCTCGACAGACCAGGTTGTGATCTTCCAACAGGCCGCCCCGAAGATCCTGCCCCCTCCTTCCCTGGTTCTATCTTGATGATGAGTTCAGGTCGAGGTTCCACCCTCTCATGCTGACCCGCCGGACACCCGCAATATGTACAGTTGTGTCTGAGGACAGGTAGGGAATACTGAGGACAGTCCTCGGGGCAGTCTCGACACCTACCCCGAACAACTCCGTACTTGTCTCGGTTGAAGTCCGTGAACATTGCCATGTCTGAAACGAGAACAAATACAATAGGTTTGGCTATTTGTTGGACAGCACGACTCGGGATCGTACAGAAAAAAGGTTAAAAAGAAGCCGCCATCATGCAGCTGGACTATTCCTGAGCTGAATGCAGAGTTAAACAACAAACAATAAGTAACATTAATACTTAAATCTACCACAAACAATATTGTCATTAAGAAATGTAACCGAGTATAACGCTTTTTCAACCGCAGTCAGCAATGTTATGACGATAACGGCCTGAGGCCTGTTCCAAATCATGCCAGGTCAAGACAAACTATTGGATGACAGCATGCATAATGAACCCTACTATCCAAATGCCATGACGAAATCACCAATGCCGCACAAAATAACAACACCCTTAACCCTTACCTTTCGTAATATTTTTTGGTCACTTCTTATCATTAAAAACAACAACATGCACTTATTCTGTGAATTGATATCTTTTAAATCTCTGCAAATGGTCCGTCGTTCACTCGTCACGTTGAAGCTCTTTGTTCGATTCCCCACATAGGTACTATGTGTGGAGCCTATTTCTGGTGTCTATCGCCGTGATATTGCTAAAAGCGACGTTAAACTCAGTTCACTCACTCACTCTGATAAGCTGACTGGCTATATTAATAACCAAACATGTCAGTAAAGGTGATGCCATATCAAATAATGACCTCAATAATAACGAAGTTAATCTTGCTTTTGACGAAATCTTTATTCAGCTCGACCAAGTAATATAAAAAGAAATTGGTCAGACAAAGAAACAGTAATTAACCACAACTTATGCAAATGAGAATACATTTGCCCTATTCAAATTCAAAATGTTCGCAAAGTATCCTTTACTCCGATTTTTCGATTTCATGAGTATCCATTTTGTGATCATCTGGGCCAGATTCAGAACAAGAACCGACTCGCTTTGGTCGCGCGATGAAGGCATGGCCCTGCATGTTGTACAGTGGCTTTCTTCCTTCCATTCTTTCAAAACACTTAAGGTAGCTACAATTACAGGCATGTTTGATGGTAATATCAAGCCAAAACACTGTTATAAATTCCTCTTTGTATTCTTCGTGTAGGGTGCTTAGATATGCTCCAATGTGTTGTTTGTCCATTCCTTTGAAATGTCTCCTCAGTGCTCTTCTGATTGATGCACTTTCGGCATTGCCCACATAGATTGTCCGACCATTCTCGGCAATTTTGTATGAGCCATTTAGTGCCTATCTACGTTCTCCCACCCCTGTCACTCACACTGTCGCCGATACCAACAAGTGACGTGAGGTGGGTTTAACGTCGCGTCCAAGATTATTGCACTTATATAGCGACGTGCATGCACGCGCGCGCGTGTGTGTGTGTGTGTGTGGCTGGTTGTACTGGTCCGGACTGATGCCGATTTATAGTGCAAGCTCACCGAGATACCATGCCGCAGTTTAACATGAATACCCCACTCAGACACAGCATACTTACTCCGAGCCGACCAGTCCTTGTTTTAGCCCCTTAATGCCGAGCGCCAGACAGGGTAACAACAAGTTCCATCTTTTAACGATAAGAGCAATTATACATAAACACTGAATAAACATGTCTTACCTGTGTGGAACGTGAGGTGTGTATTTGGGTTCTGAAATAGGAATCTAGGATGTCTGCACACTGCGTCTCCTGCACCAGGTTGTAAGACTGTGCACCTGACCTACATATAGGCGTCAGTGTTCTGGGAAATCTACTTTCTCTTCCATTGTGATAAATTCTTAGTAGTGCAGCCCTGCATAACGACAATTAAATCAGTCCTCAGAGGTATGCCGTCAACAACAGCCACACTGTGATATAAGGGTCGAAGAGTGAGTGAGTTAAAAGTTTACGTCACATCGGCAGTATTTCAGCCATATCCTGACGAGAACAGCCCTGCATAACGACAATCAGGGGTTTGTGAGAGATACACATATGTCCCACATGTTGATATATCCCAATTGCAGAGCTATAAATAGGCTTTTGGTTTTTTGGGTATTTTACCCAGGGGTTTCATTTTGATTGGGTATCAACAAATTTTAGAGGGTTTTGAATTTTTCTTAACCCACCTATTTCTTGACATCTGAGCATTTTAACTTGAAAACCTGTTTCTTAATAAACCCTGTACGTTATTTAACTATGTGAATAGTAGTATACCTGTCTGCGTCTGCTTGCGGCTCCCTCTGCCGGAAGCCGTTTGCAAAACCTAGCACACTGTAAGTAAGGCGCTATTTCTTTAATCACCAATCAGCGACTATTAAAAAAAACAGCATGTACATTGACTAGGCAGTATGTGCTTTTTCATTGACATCTATCAGTGTGTGGTCAAGCTCGCCGACCTTTCAGATGCATGTCATCTTATCTCAGTTGCGAAGAATGATGCTTTTGATGTCAATCACAGGGTTGTCTGGTCCAGATTCGATTATTTACAGACCGCCGTCATATAGCTGAAATATCACTCAATGCGACATGAAACAACAAACAAACAAACAAATAAACAAGATCATTCAGTTCATTCATGTGGAGTGACTAAATTTTACAAGGAGCGATATGACTCTTCGCCGACAAACAAATCGTCAATCGGAAAGTCCTTGACATTGCTGTTCGTAAGGAAGGCTGAAAACACTGATAAAGCCAACAGCGGTGAGTAAATCCCGATCTAGTTCATTTTAAGAACTGTTTTCAACAGCGTTAGTTGACAACAGCTTAGCGAGAAGTAGCGTACATGGATATGCGTACTTGTAGTGTCACTCTGACTAAATGTCCTTTCGTTGATAACTACACTACATCTAAAGGTGGGTAATTATGTATCCTTTTTGCCAATTAATATATAATGTAACAATATATAACTTATAACATATAATACCCCATTCTGTCGTAAATTAGAATATAGCAAATGTCAGCAATTATGAATAAGGGGTTTAGAACGGATGATATATAATGTAAGGAGGAGTAATCATAGAATGATTCATCTGAGCGATTCAGTGTTATGAAACAAGCTGTATAATGTCACCGTGACCCTGATAACACACAGTCGGCCCCTGCCAGCATTCTTAGCATGCAGCTGAAACCCACACTTTTGTGGGTCAACTGTTATTGAACGTTATTTCACACGCACACTTTATTCTAGAGAGATTTTTTTTACTTTTGAAATTTTGAAACTTTAATAATTGGAGTAAACATTACATTTCCGATCAGCATTGTTATTAAGTGAGACAGTGAGTTGGGTTTAACGCCGCTTTGAACAATATTCCAGTCATATCAGGGCGTGCCAGCTTAATGTTGGAGGAAAGGCTGAAGTGATGCAGGTCACAGACGTTTACCACTTTTGTCAAACGGTAATGGGTTTGGTGCTAGATAAACTAGAAACATAATTGAACACACCGGTATTCGAACCCACAATCATAGGTTTCTGGCATACCCAAGGGACGCAACTCTACACAGCGAATTGTGGCGACTAAAACGACTGGGTCACCCGTGCCCCCATTATTATTAATGTTTATTATGTGTTAATATGTAATGTATATCAAGTCTTGTTTTCAGCAATAGAAGTCAAGGTTGTGACTTTATTACAGTTATGAAGTAATGGGGTATCAATTGTATTGGCGGCCCAGTCTTCCAACGCGCTGCAATGCGCTGTGCAGAGTAGTGGGTCTTTTTAAGCGTATCGTTCATGATCAGTTGTTCGAATCCCGTGGTCGTGGACTGCACTAAACGTTTAAGACCTGCATAACTTCGGGCTTTACTCCCACTCGTTGGAACGCCATGAAATAACTGTTATATTGTTCAAAGCGGCGTTAAAGCAGACTCACTCACCCACTCGCTCAATACATTTATGTACACTTTCCATTTCAGCACAGTCATGAATAACCGGGGCGTGTTGCCTGAGCCGAATGACTCTGGAAAGCCACAGGTGCATCCTCTCTACAGCTCACACAACATAAAGCTGTACTCACACTTCATACCAGTGTATGTCCAGCACCCATGGCCGACTAATCTGGAGCTGGTTGAACCGGAACCGAGCCAGGTCTCGACATCTCGTACGAGTTTGCACGGTTCAATCCAACAGACAAAGGTTGTTGCACATGTTCGAAACAGCTCTGTTCCTCGAGAAAAACCAAGAGATCACACACAGAGGAATGACTGTCCGCCTCCTGCAGCACATGGGGTATTGCATTGCCAGGACGAACAGGGAACTGCTGAGACAGCACTGGGGCTGATAGCTAGTGCTTCTGATGACGTTACGTCGCAACCTGAAACAAATACCAAACAAGAGTGTGAACGTTTAAAGGACTTCCAGACACCGTGCATTAATAAAGGACAAGATATGGACACAGAGAGATCTTCGAAGACAGAGCGGCCATTGAATAGAAAAAAAGACAAACAGGCTATGGTGCCAAAAACAGGCCGCATGTCGATACCCTTGATTGCCGTAAGTAGTTTTAATGAATGAAGTGGTATGGCTTTACGCCACTTTTAGCAATATTCCAGCAATATATCACGACGGGGAACAACGGAAATGGGATTCACACATTGGACCCATATGGGGAATCGAACCGGGCCTTCGGCGTAACGAAGTAATAGGAGTGACTGAGTGAGTGAGTTGGGTTTAACGCCGACAGTTATATCGCGGCGTCTCGGCTTAATGTGAGAGGAAAGCCCGAAGTGATGCAGGACTCAGACGTTTACCACTTTGGTGAAACCCACAAGCTCGGGAATGGTGATGACAAACCTAGAAACATAATCGGGGCGAACCGGGATTCGAACCCACAATCATAGGTTTCTGGCGTGCCCAAGGGACGCAACTCTGCTGCACAGTGAATCGTGGCGCCTTAGACGACTGGGCCACCCGTGCCCCAAGAAGTAATAGGAATGTTTCATGAACAATATTAGTTAATTTCCCATTGATTTCATTTCGTAATCAACTCGTCATGAACACCAACAATGTGCCTCTTGTCTATGTCATAGTCGCCTAAGGCGCTGAAATTCCTTAAGCGTGCCAGAAAACTATGATCGTGGGTTTGAATCTAGATTCTCCTGATTATGTTTCTAGGATTGTCAAATTCGTAAACATCCAAGACCTGCATCACTTCGGGCTTTCCTCCCATGTCAAACTGACACGCCGTGATAAGACAGGAATACTGTTCAAATCGGTGTGGAACCAAACTCACCCACTCACTCATAATGTTTTACTGGCTGGCTTACTGACTTGTATTGAGGTGTTACCAAAATACTGCTTTTTATTCCAGATGAAACCATGCAAGCTGTTGCACAGAGGTCATGTACCATATTCAGTCATCGTGCGGACGAAGCGCAGGCCAAGTGGTGTGTACAAGATAGCCTACAAGTGGGAAACTATCTATGTCAGTTCGCCAACAAGCAATATCATCAAGGAGCTTCGGAAACAGTTCAGTGGTGATGGCAAGTAGGAGATAGTAAAGTTCTTGCTGAATCTTCCCAAGGAGGAACTTGAGCTGGTGTCAGTGTTCTGGCTTAATGAGAGCATACACGTCCAACACTGTGGAAGGTCCTACCTGGAATGTATTAGAGACCTGCAGGGAAAGAAACCAATGCTTAACGACATACAACTGATTCTCTGCTCGATGACAAATGCCAGTGTGACAGAAGATCCAGACAGATATAGCCCTTTAGATGATCATAGTGCACCTACATTCCGCTTGATGCCGAGAAAGAGACCTGCGTGTGATGATGGAGAGAAATCACAGTTTCATACCGATGCAAAGAAAATAAAGTATGATCAACATGGACAACTGTCAAGGCATCTTCCGACAAAGAGTCCCAAGGACACAGTGCCGAGTACAGTAATGAACTTGAATATGAAAATAACTGAGATGTCACTGAGCAATGTTTCTACAATACCAGCCTTGGCCGTCTCATCCGGACGAAGATCTCAACCAATACGACCTTCTGAAGATAAGTCAATGAACCTTCAAAACTTTCATGAAAATCAGACAACCCATGATGTTCTTCAGCAGTTAGGTATTTCTCCCCGGTCACCAGAATTTGAAGCCAGGACCGAAAATGATAATATTGGGAAAGTGACTGGACATGCTGTACCAACGAACATCATTAGAAAAGATAAAAGAGTAGATGCGACACTTTCAACTGTCACTAAAGAGTACCAACCTGCCTGTCCTACCACAATACAGGTAAATAAATATTCCCCAAAGAAGCTACAACGACAGAGCATCAGAAGAAAATGTAAATCTCCCAGTAAAGAGACATTAAGAGATCACTCAACGGTTCTAGGGAAACATTCACAGACAGGATCCCCTTGTTTCGAACCATCCTCTGCAGAGAAGGGCCAGAAACACACTGTCGGTTCTGCACATTCTCAACACACAAAAATAACACCTCGATATGAGCTTATGCAGCCTGAGAAGAGAACGAGGGGCAATGTCTATTCAGATCAAGAACAGAAAGTATCAACAACAAGTGGAAATGACCCTACTAAGAACAAGAAAATGACTCCAGTGTCTTCCGAATCAATTTCCAATAACAGTTTTGCAAACAAACCGTCTGTGATCACGCCTAATGCTGTAAACCAGAAACCAGAACTAAATGTGTCCAAACTGTTGGAGAGAATGTTAAAGGCTGCACCAACCCAACAGAACCCACCAAACTTTCTTGGTCAGACAAAAACGCCTGGTGAAGGTAGAAGCTGTAAAACCAAGAATCCACAGTACAAAGGCCGAGGCTCCCATACTGGAAAGACTTTGGTTTGTGAGTCCATTGTCTCCAGTACGCAAACATATTCTTCAATCCAACACTCTCAGACAAAAGTTAGAAACAAAACATCCGGAGAAACACGTAAAATCAGGGCACGACAATTGCTTAAGAAAGGCACAGATTCAACGCAAGGTGTTGGGGTATTCTCAGTGCTCAAGACCTTTGGCTCGAAAGTTTTGAATATGATGAACCCATTTGTAACTCCAAACGATGGTCAGTAGGGTTGCAAACGCTCAAACAACACTGAGCTTATACACTGCTTTGAACATGAGTTCAGTTGATGCGCGGCAGCAGCCCAAACTGATGTACTCTGTCGGACAAAAGAGAGTATTCATCCGAGGCTGATGATGAATAAAACAAACAAGATATGGTCATTCTATGGTGATGTATTTGATACAGGTATCACAGTAAACTGTTGTGTTTTAGACCTTACGTTTGCAGTGTTGCAGCGACTGTTTTCCGCCTTGTAACGTTTTGATAACGTTTGGCATTTTTTGTCATCTCCAATTTTCAAGTGTATCCTTTCTTTTGCCCGGTCACAGACATACACACTTACCACTGAAAACCCACCTTCACTCGTATTGTGCTGACAAACATAATCAGGTGAATATTGGAATCGAGGCATCTTGATGCAGCTCTGAACAGTCGGGGGGCACGGTTGTCTGAGGCGCCGCGATTCGCCGTGCAGAGTTGCGTCCCTTGGGCTGGCTGGAAACCTATGATTGTGGGTTCGAATCCCGGTTCGCCCCGATAATGTTTCTAGGTTTGTCAGCACCCGTGCTCCTGGGTTTCACCGAAGTGGTAAACGTCTGAGACCTGCATCACTTCGGGCTTTCCTCCAACATTAAGCTGACACGCCGCGATATAACTGAAATAATGTTAAAAGCGGCGTTAAACCCAACTCACTCACTCACTCACTCTGAACAGTCAGTACATGGCGGACGCTTTAGTAAGCCGTACACACCCCATCAAACCACCACATACACTTTCTTTGTAAATGCAAAATACGCCGGACAAGTTTGGATCATCTGCCGAAACAGATTCCACCAGGTGTAAAAGGCAAAAAATTGTTTTTACTTCAAGAACCGTGCGTATTTCATGACTTCGCTTATGACCTCATCCTTTGGGGGCACGGGTGGCCCAGTCGTCTAAGGCGCCGCGATTCGCTGTGCATATTGGGTCCCTTGGGCACTCCAGAAACCTATGATTGAGGGTTCGAATCCCGGTTCGCCCCAATTATGTTTCTAGGTTTGTCAGCACCATACCCGTGTTCGTGGGTTTCACCGAAGTGGTAAACGTCTTAGACCTGCATCACTTCGGGCTTTCCTCCCACATTAAGCTGACACGCCGCAATATAACTGGAATACTGTTAAAAGCGGCGTTAAACTCAACTCACTTACTCTCATCCTTTCTGACAAACTTGTTATATCCCTGATTGTGTTTTGCGGAAGTGTCAGTGTTCGGGGTGGTCGCCCTTCAAAATGGGTGACATGAGACGTTGACGCCTGTTGTATTGTTTTGTTATATATGTGTCCTGAATTGACTTCTATTATTTCATCTTGTATCAAGGACACTTAATACCTTAACGAATCGCAATTATATATCAATGAAATATCTCATATATTCAAGGTCACTGGTGAGCCCTCATCGGGCAGGTTATGCTGTTGCGAAGACTCGCGATGATTATAACTGGGACTGAACCGACAGCATTCAAAAGATGCGGCCTTTTTATACAGCCAGTTGTGATAATTGTCAATTGATATCAAGTTATATTTTCAAGGTCTTGTTTTCTTGCATAAAATGAATTCTTAAGTGTACAGTGATCATCAATTGATGTGTATGGTTTCGTAAGAGAGGAGCAAATAGTTAACTTAATTTTGCTCCATGTTTAGAACTGACTTCAACATTTCTTTTGCGTTTATGGAACGACAATTTCGGGGTGCACACTGTGTAAATCCGTATAGTGGTAAATGTTAGATCGTCTGGGGAAACTTCCAAGTCAGGAGTGGTTGGTACATCAGACATGCCTTCACAAGGGGGTATAAAGTCGACGCCAAAGGTGTTTGAAGACGGCAAACGACATCATGGAGATTCTGATGGACCAATGTGGAACCAGAGAGTCCTGAGAACAGGCATTCGTTGCAGGCGAAAAAACGTCGATTATCGATACCCCTGATGGAGGCTAGTGATCTATCGAAACACGTTTATGTTGTTTCTTTTTTCAGTGTTAATGCCCCAATATGGATTCCGTATTTAATCAAAGTTGTTTGTTATATTGTTTCTTCAGCATTTATTTGCTGTGTACTGTATACTAGTGTTGACTATAAGTAATGATATCTTGTAAAAGGCGATTGGTTAATTACAAGCACAGAAACCCATTTCCATATGCTATGAAATCTGTCACAAATTTGAAGATCTCCTTATAGCAGGGACGTTGGTTTCCAAGTAACCCTCGGTTCAACTATGAGGCATGTTTCCCTATCTTCTCGGCACCTTCCGTGGTTTTCTTTTGTTTCTGAAAATATGTTCACGGCTGTAAATACCACTTCAAATGATTCCATGTACAGTCTAGTATAATCCTAGTAAAGAATATAGTACTATGTATGTTTATAGGTATGTGTTTAAAAGTAACATCTGATAGTGTTGGTGTATCTCTGCAGTGGTGAATATTTGTTTTAAGCGAATCGTATTTTTTCTTAACATACAAAACATAATATTATTGAAAATAGTTAAGTACCATGAAGAATAATGTTTGTTGGAATCTTACAAGAAAATCATATGGACAAATAATTGTTTCGAAATAACAGCATACTGAATCGCTAAATATTACATCGTCCATTATATACACAAAACTGTAAATTTGTTTCACAATCTAAGACCCCGTTCATATGCACATGTATTTTACATAGGTATGTAAAATAATATTCTATGAAAGTTTGTTCTGTCAGCAAACTACATGTATGTATCATATGCTATGAAATGTATGAAAATGCTGGTATTATTTGTAGCTGGTGGTATACATGTATACTGAGTTTTACCTTTTATCACGTTATGTTTTCAGTAATTTAAAGAATAAAAAATTATCAACTATTTTATAAGTCTTTGAAATCCATGCTCCAGAGACTACACATGTGTCTGTTGATGCTCCAGAGACTTCACGTGTGTCTATTGGTGCTCCAGAGACTACACATGTGTCTGTTGATGCTCGAGTGACTACATATATGTCTGTTGATGCCCCAGAGACTACACATGTGTCTGTTGATGCTCCAGAGTCTACACGTGTGTCTGTTGATGCTCCAGTGACTACACATGTCTGTTGATGCTCAAGAGACTACACATATGTCTGTTGATGCTCCAGTCAATACACATATGTCTGTTGATGCTCCAGAGACTACACATGTGTCTGTTGATGCTCCAGTGCCTACACATGTGTCTGTTGATGCTCCAGTGCCTACACATGTGTCTGTTGGTGCTCCAGAGACTACACATGTGTCTGTTGATGCTCCAGTGCCTACACATGTGTCTGTTGATGCTCCAGTGCCTACACATGTGTCTATTGATGCTCTCCAGAGACTACACATGTATCTGTTGATGCTCCAGTGACTACACATGTGTCTGTTGATGCTCCAGAGACTACACATATGTATGTTGATGCTCGAGAGACAACACATGTGTCTGTTGATGCTCCAGAGACTACACATGTGTCTGTTGATGCTCCAGAGACTACACATGTGTCTGTTGATGCTCCAGTGACTACACATGTGTCTGTTGATGCTCCAGTGGCTACACATGTGTCTGTTGGTGCTCCAGAGACTACACATGTGTCTGTTGATGCTCCAGTGCCTACACATGTGTCTGTTGATGCTCCAGTGCCTACACATGTGTCTATTGATGCTCTCCAGAGACTACACATGTATCTGTTGATGCTCCAGTGACTACACATATGTCTGTTGATGCTCCAGAGACTACACATATGTATGTTGATGCTCGAGAGACAACACATGTGTCTGTTGATGCTCCAGAGACTACACATGTGTCTGTTGATGCTCCAGAGACTACACATGTGTCTGTTGATGCTCCAGTGACTACACATGTGTCTGTTGATGCTCCAGTGCCTACACATGTGTCTGTTGATGCTCCAGAGACTACACATATGTCTGTTGATGCTCCAGAGACTACACATGTGTCTGTTGATGCTCTAGTGACTACACATGTGTCTGTTGATGCTCCAGTGCCTACACATGTGTCTGTTGATGCTCCAGAGACTACACATATGTCTGTTGATGCTCCAGTGACTACACATGTGTCTGTTGATGCTCCAGTGACTACACATGTGTCTGTTGATGCTCCAGTGCCTACACATGTGTCTGTTGATGCTCCAGAGACTACACATATGTCTGTTGATGCTCCAGTGACTACACATGTGTCTGTTGATGCGCCAGAGACTACACATATGTCTGTTGATGCTCCAGAGACTACACATGTGTCTGTTGATGCTCCAGAGACATCACATATGTCTGTTGATGCTCCAGTGACTACACATATATCTGTTGATGTTCCAGAGACTACACATATGTCTGTTGATGCTCCAGACATTACACATATTTGGTCTTGATACTCCAGAGACTACACAAGTGTCTATTGATGCTCTCCAGAGACTACACATGTGTCTGTTGATACTCCAGTGACTACACATGTCTGTTGATGCTCAAGAGACTACACATATGTCTGTTGATGCTCCAGAGACTACACATGTGACTGTTGATGCTCCAGAGACTACACATGTGTCTGTTGATGCTCCAGTGACTACACATATGTCTGTTGATGCTCCAGAGACTACACATATGTCTGTTGATGCTCCAGAGACTACCCATGTGACTGTTGAAGCTCCAGAGACTACACATGTGTCTGTTGATGCTCCAGTGACTACACATATGTCTGTTGATGCTCCAGAGACTAAACATATGTCTGTTGAAGCTCCAGAGACTACACATGTGTCTGTTGATGCTCAAGAGACTACACATATGTCTGTTGATGCTCCAGTGACTACACATATGTCTGTTGATGCTCAAGAGACTACACATATGTCTGTTGATGCTCCAGAGACTACACATGTGTCTGTTGATGCTCAAGTGACTACACATGTGTCTGTTGATGCTCCAGAGACTACACATATGTCTGTTGATGCTCCAGAGACTACACATATGACTGTTGATGCTCCAGAGACTACACATGTGTCTGTTGATGCTCCAGTGACTACACATATGTCTGTTGATGCTCCAGAGACTACACATATGTCTGTTGATGCCCCAGAGACTACACATATGTCTGTTGAAGCTCCAGAGACTACACATGTGTCTGTTGATGCTCCAGAGACTGCACATATGTATTTTGATGCTCCAGAGACTACACGTGTGTCTGTTGAAGCTCCAGAGACTACACATGTGTCTGTTGATGCTCCAGAGACTGCACATATGTCTGTTGATGTTCCAGTGACTACACATATGTCTGTTGATGCTCCAGAGACTACACATATGTCTGTTGATGCTCCAGAGACTACACATGTGTCTGTTGATGCTCCAGAGACTACACATATGTCTGTTGAAGCTCCAGAGACTACACATGTGACTGTTGATGCTCCAGAGACTACACATATGTCTGTTGAAGCTCCAGAGACTACACATATGTCTGTTGATGCTCAAGAGACTACACATGTGTCTGTTGATGCTCCAGAGAATACACATATGTCTGTTGATGCTCAAGAG